GGGTAATCGAGAGTCCGCTTCCTCCGCCATTGATTCCTCCCTGCTGAAGATCGACCGTCCAGGGACCACTTTGTCTGCCATTTCGCATCCACCGGTGGCTACTCCTTTCCGCCTTTAAATTTCAATTTAAATCGAAAACGGTAAACGATTCCTCTCGTAACCATGGAAACGTTTACGTCGCGTCTATCCTTAAACCTGACCTTAACGAAACGTCGTATGCCGGCAGGATGTAGTGCATCCCGTATTCAAGCCTCGTAGTCTAAATCCGGCGCTATTTATGGTCGGGACATCCACGAGAAAGTCTCGTTTTTCCCTCGATCCCGTCAGGCCACGGGGAATTCCGTTATCTCGAGATCTCGGCGGCTTAAAACTCGAGCATCCCGCGTTCTCTTCTGAAATCGGGGAATCGGCCTAAACGATTTATGAATGAACCCGGTCCTCGTTGTCGTCGTCGCCGATGCGGCTTTCTTTCCCCTTACCTCTGTCTCGCGCACACTCTCTCTCTCTCTCTCTCTCTCTTTCTCTCTGCTTTTTCTCTCTCTGTTAACCCCCCGGCTGCGTGAAAAAAAGCTCGTAGCCCTCGCGAGTTTACGACGCTCCGTATACGTACGCGCGTGTACGCCGGCGCGGCGTGTAGCTTGTTTTAAAGAAAATTCACGCGACGCGGACGCGAAGAAAAAGGAAGAAAGGAGCACAGGAGGAGAAGCAGCGGCACCACGACAAATCCCGGTGACGTAATTTCAGACGGTCGTCGAACCTGAGACCTCGGCAGAGCCTCACCACGAGGGAGACCCACGGACTTTCATTCATTCGGGGTGGGGACCAGCGAATACGCGGTGTGCACACGTGCACGCGCTGCACGCCGCTGCACGCCGCGCCTCGAATCGCAATCGCGAAATTCCTTCGTTCCCGATATCCGTGCCCGCTTATCTTCCACGCGACAAACCGATACCAGGCCCGGAGAAAGTGCGGCCTCTCTCCGTTAGAAACTCCGCTCCTCTTACCTGGCCCGCTAATTTACCGGCGACGCCCGTTCAGTTGGAAAGATTCGGATACCCTCTCTCTCCCTCTATTGTTTCAGGGATCATGGGATCGACGTGTCATCTGACAGTGGTGATCGCGCTGTTCCTCCAGGCCACCAGCTTGCACGCCCATCGCGAGCACAAGGTTTATCCATCTTTCCCCTTTCAGCCGATGCTACTCCTTTGCTTCTTCTATCCGTAGAGTGACGTTAGTGGTTATCGCTTCAAGGTTCACAACATCGTGCTCTACCCCGACAAGCACAGCTGGTGCAAGACGACCCCGATAAAGCAAGTGGTCGCGTGGCCCCAGTGCTCTTCGCAGGAGTTGGACAACAATGTCTGTGTGGGAGCTTGTTTCTCTTACATGGTGCCGCACAGCGAGCCCTCCGCACCTGGTGACTTGATCAGACCCTACTGCGACTCCTGTCAGCCTCTGGACAGCGTCTGGCACACGGTAGGTGTCCGCGTGCGAGTCGATGGACGGCCAAGTTATTGGGAGTAAAATCGGAAATTAAAGTCTCCTTCCGACGTTTAGGTCACGCTCGACTGCAAAGACGAGGTGAACAACCCCATCACCATGCAGAAGAAGGTGCAGATCATCACGAATTGTTCCTGCAGCTCGTGCATGGAGACGTCCAGGATCAAGCCGGACTACAACACTCTGCTTCAGTCGTTGACCGAGGAGAATCTCGACAAGAACGTGAACGTGGTCCACGAAACTCCGGATCTGCTGTTAAACCCGAACTTGAACTCCTCGAAGAACACCACCAGAGACGGTGTGCAGGCTAACGAGAGGTTCTTGCAGATCTTCAAGCAGCTGAAGGACTCGGAGAAGTTCAAGCAGTCCGGGACCAAGGAGCTGTTCTCAAAGTTCGACGGCGACATCGATTTCGACAAACTGAGAGAGCTGTTGAAGAAGTACGGCCAAGAGGAGGAGAAGCAACACCCTCATCAGCATCTGCACCAGCATCAGCACCAGTCGACCGGAAAGCAGCAGCAGCAGCAGCAGCAGCAGCAGCAACAGCAGCAACACCATTCGACGACGGTGCTCCATCGAGGACCGCATCACTCGATGGTTCTAGACTCCGACGTGAAGGAGAAGATCGACGTGGAACCGCATTATCTTCATCCGGCAGTGGCGGGTCAGGAGATCAGCTACCACGACAACGGGCTGGTGGACAAGGACAAGAAGAAGGATTTCTGAGATGACGGAAGGCGCGTGTCTCGCGATGGAAACGCGTGGTCGGCCTGACATGTCCGGCCAGGTCGGTCATGGGTGACGGAGATGTTCGGTATTAGCGAATGAGATCGTTTCTTTTCCATATTTCTTAAGATTTGATTCGTGACCTAGTCCAGCCCGTAGCAAATTGCTCGATTCGATTTAGCAAACTAAAGGTCCAGCTTGTTCCGCGAACGATACATTTGTAAATAGAAAAAGATTCCTCGTCTCGCTTTATTCTCTATTCTTCTTCTTCCTTTTTTTTCTCTTTTTTTTTCTCTTTTGTTCTCTCTAGCAGGCAAAAGACGAGCCGTTGCTCCCGAGGAGCGTCTCGGCCCCGGCCCGAGTAAGTCTCGTTAGAGTTCAATCGTTTGGGAAACGCGTTGAGCGAAAGTTGAGGATACGGGAAGGAAGAAAAAGGGGAGAGAGAAATTCTAATATATATTTAATTATTATTATTATGTTAATTAACTATTTAATACGATCGCGCGTCTAATAAAGGAATATACGTCTGTTTGGAATTTTAGTTCTTATCTAGCACAACTGGCAATCATTGTAGACGCCTAAAGGCGTTATATCTCGTTGACTGCTTTAAAAGTACACATTGTATCCACTATCTCGCAGAGAATAAACGGAGTCCGTACAGATTTTTCCCGGTATACGTCCCCCCGATCACTTCTCCCGTCGTATCGGTTCTTCGAATTTTCCACGAGCCAAAATACCGGCAAAGGGGAGAAAAAAGGAGAAGGCAGTTTCGAAGAAGGAGCCAAGAAGACCGACGATCATGGACGGAAGAGAACGAAGGCAAAAGAGAAAGGAAGGTTGGACGAGCTCGGACTTGGCAAATCGCGTCGTACGTGTACAAGGTGGAATGCAAATAAAGCAATTAAGCACACGGTCAAAAACGAGTAGAACCAATAGGAAAGAACACCGAAGAGGAGAACGGAAGCCCGAGCAGCGCTCTACCGATTGCCTATCCACTCGCACTTTCTCTCCGAACAAAGACGAAAATGTTGCTTTTCCTCCGTTGCGCGGGAAAACTAGCTTTCACCGTTTTTCCCGCGCATCGTCGATGAGGAAACGCCTCTCTCGAGCCCCGGGGACGCGAGTTTTCAAAGAGATTCCTCGGATCGCGATCTCGGTGACAGGATAAATCGACAGAAATCGACGAGGATCTCCGTGGTCAAGGTCGAAGACGCGGAAAAAAAAGGCGATAGTTTAATCTGCGAGTGGAGCGAGTGGTACTCCGATGGTGGAAAGTGGTACTCCTGTGGAAATCGGTAGATCGGCAGAGATAATCGGCCGAGTCCGAAGAAGCATCGGTCCAGCGGAAGAATGGTCGCTGATAAGAAGCGGTCCCGACCAATCAGCGACGCAGATCCGAGCGGATCGCCGGTACACGAAAGCGATTACGTATAGCTCGGTAACGGGGCGAAGAACTCGCGAGCTGAGCTACGACAGTGTTGCTCGGCGCTCCGTTGCGCGTCCTTGCTGCTTTTCTGCGCGGTCGCGTAGCGTTTTTCTTCGCGGCGCAGCTGCGCGTGCCACCGAAATCATGTTGCCCCGTTGCTGATCTCGGGAAACAACGAAACCACGGATCCAAGGTGACACGCGATGCCCGGCACACCTTGGGTGTTCGATTACTTCTGAATGCCCAGCTGCGCAACCACCATCACCGTCGTCGGTCGGAATACAAAAATGGAGAACACCGATTTCGAACGAGCCTCCTCCGAGCCGAGGATAAGCACCACGAACGGTAGGCTCTTGTTATTTCAACGAACCGTTGCTCGGTGATGGTCCCTGGTGAACGGATTGCCGATCCCATCATGCCTCACGATTCCTCCGGGTTTTCCAAAGTTTCCAAGGATCTCGTAGCTTCTTGAATACGAAATCCGGAGATTTCAGCTGTCGATGCTTCGACCGGGAAACTCGTTCACGCGGAATTTCGTTGTTGTGTCGAAGCATAAAGACTTAGACGAATCCAAGTGACCGAGTCGTAACGGTCGTGTTTAACGCAGGCGAATGTTTACGTACAGCCGGTTCCACGTATAAAAGTAACAGCGAAACTTTCCTCTGCGTCAGTCGTCGACCGGTCTCCGGTTGCTCAACGTTGCGGCAATGCACGCGCCGCGTTTGTAATCCGGGATCGATATTGCGACGGGATCGAGACGATCCGAAACTTTAGTCGAGGTCGATGCGACCGGCATGAATTAATAGTTGCGAATATACGTACTCGAGTCATGTCCGAATTCCAATTTACCGACGTCCCGCCGCACAGTCGCGGATAATCCATAGTTACCAAAATAACGCTGTGTCGAAATGGCGACCATTCTTTCCACGTGTTTTTTAATCGTCTCGAACACGCGGATCATCTGCTTTTGCAACGTCACGCTCGGAAATATCGCCGATCCATCGACCATCTGACTTTCTCGTAGCTCCGAAATCCGCTCGTCTGTTATACCAACAAAGTCTAAATTAACGTCGACTTAACTCGACTGACGCCGAATAGCGAAAGTTTATATGAAGACACTTTGATTAGGAGAAATTACTTTTCGACATCTGCCGATCCCGGACTCGCGCGCGTCCTCGTAATTGATAATTCTGAACTTTCGATCCTGACGACAGCTGGAGACTCGAGGAAAAAGAAACGAGGGAGCTCGGAGCTCTGTAATTTCGCGAGTTCTATTTTCTTCGTAGCATATCGTTGGCTGGCTAAAAATGCCTGGAATTCGAGGTAGCAGACACGAGGCGCCTCGACGCTTGCGACCAGCTAACAGAGTCCATTCGAAGCGATTCGTCAATTAAGCGACGACGCTTTCAACGAACGAAATTACCGAGCTGCCACGTCCTCGGCCTAACTCCTCCTAACGAAACGATTTAAAAAAGCTGCTCGAATAGGAGAATCGGACACGTGGATCGGAAGTACGATCGGAGTGGACGCTGCTTCGGCTAATTATAAACGATTAATTATACTTCTAATCTCGAGATTACAATCTTCGCTGATAAATTTCGTTTTAACAGATATTCTCTTGACCTTGCGGTTGCCAGATTACCAGATGTTTTCTCTACTATTTCGCGAAATAATTACCATCGTTTCTCGGTCACTGGATTTATCATCGGTAGTTCAACAACCTTATCAGCGCGTGAATTTGTACCATTTCTCGTCTGAGCCGCATCGTCTGTCTCTACTTCGACACGCGTCCGTGGAATATCCGCTGAAATTAAACGGAGCTTTCTTATCGAACAATTATGACGTCGTGCACAATCGGCGTGACAGCGCATAGTTTCTGGAAACGCACGTGCAATTTCTGCTCCGCGGTTTATCGGCTTATCAAACTGCAAATTGTCTGCGAATTAATCCGATACGGAGAGGCTCCGTTATCGGGAGGTATCGGAATAGATCGTCTAATCGTGAATAACAGCGTCATTTCGAGAAGATTGCCTTCCCTATCGCCGACGAAAACAGCACACCGTGTTTTCGTATCTGGAGATCGGCAGTATTTCCTTGTCGATCGGACTTCTTCGTTCGGTGCCACAGATACGCGAACCACTCAGCCTCGCGATAACCCCGAAGGTTACTGCAATCGCAGACATCGTTCGCGAATCGAGTATTTTTCCTTCGTGTCCGTCCGAGGACACATACGAAACCGGTGAAAAATGGCTCGAAGAACGAATTCACGGAAGCCTGCTCCGTTTCGAAATCCTCGAATTTCGCGTCGTACGAGAATAGTTGGAAATAATCTTCCATGCACTTTCCCGAAACGTGTCTCTCGGCGTGGGAACCTTGAGTCAGAACTATAATTGCATATCCTCGAAAATGATGCTCCCGGCACGCGGTGCTTCTGCAGTCGTAAATAACATTGTTAATAATTCCGCGCCGGAAACGCGGATGACTCTGCCGAAAATTCGGTCTCGGCGAGTCACTGGATTATTATAGACGAGAAAAGTTCAAACGGCCATGACGCGCGTATGCTTCTAAATACAGGAAGCCAGTCGGCGAAGCGAGTAAGTAGAATATGAGACGATTTTCATCGGAATCGGTCGACGACACGAGTCGCTCAAAAATAGCACGGAGGTCGAGACGCGTCTGCCTTCCGTGGCGCGTACTCGAATTCGGGAATCGGAGCAGGCAAATCGGGCCGACATCGGCGACTTGTCGATTAAATTGCTAGTTTGCTGAATAACGAACACCGATAAGAACACGAGAGCAGAACTACGGGTGTACTAGATGTCCCCGATCGGCGTGTGGACCGTCTCGGTGACCCGATTCCTAAGAGTTTCTCGTTTGGAGGACGCTGACGATGTGGACTCGACAGATTAATTGAAGACGACCGATAAGACGGTCAATAAGTAAAAAGAACGAGGAATTTCGAAAGTGTATATTACAGATGGATCGCAGATCGCTGAGCAACGTCGCTTTCAATTTTTCGTGTGAACCACGCGTCCTATTAACTTCTTAGGCTCTTCTTAGGCTGAATTTTGCGCGAGGCTGTTTCTCTGTCTCAGTCCAATTCATACCTGACAAAAGGGATAAAGATAGTATATTCTGTCGGTATATTATTAACTCTGTTATGAAAAAAGTGTGAAACAAAACATATGAAAACGATCGTTTAATTCAAACGGTGAGCGAGTGAACCACTATAGCGGTGCATCGTGCCTAAGAGGTTAAAGAGCCGGAGCTATGAACGAGCGAATGATAACGTGTATTTTTATATTACCATGAAAGCTGTCAGTTCGAAGGCAATCGTTATTTACAGATGTCCCCGGAAACTACCGATCTTACATAAGTAAAAGCGAATCGAATCGGTTGCCACCAGTCTTCCACGGTCCGCCGATTCGATTTATACTCTTACCTAGTGTTGCCTGAAACTAACGGTTAGTTTATCAACAAGCTCGATCCACGGGAAGAGGTTATCCAATATTATCGCGTTTATATATACCTGAAATGCCGAATGTTTGCTGACGAAACGTGATCGATCGCCGAGCAGACGAATTCCTAACAATGGCAGCTCTATAAGTCCTTTATTTGATCAATAAAATGGCGGAGTGTGCAAGCGAAACGTGATCGGATAAAGGTGGTCACTGTAAATGAGATAAAGGAGAAACACGTGTCGGATAGCCGGAAATCCTGCGATCCTAGACAAAACGAACGACGCTCGATTATAAGAAGCATCGTCGTTCGCGTGGTTTCGCAATATTCACCTTACATAAGTTTCGCTATCTTCCCGGTGTAATTACGACATCCGAGAATTCCAGGACGTGACATGAAAAATTCAAAAACTCGCCATTTCCGTGCCACACGAGAAACATTCGAACGATACCAGGAAAGCCTTTCGCGCGCTTTTCCTGCTTCTCCGCGAAACTTCTAACCCGGGTATACGTTTGACTCGAGTGGTCACGCTTAGCGATGCTTCGTTAACGATACCTCTGTCATCGATGATCGAACTTCGGTAGATGCGCAACGTCGTATCGTTAGCCTGTGTTTTCATTGGAATAACGTAAACGTAACGAAGATCGATAATCTTATCGATGTCTTTATCCTTTGCACCGTGGATACATGGAAAGAAAAATTTTCGAATAACAAAGTAAACGAAATGGAGGAATGAAAATTTGCTCGATATAAGGTTACGTTGGAGAGAGAAGCGTTGGAGCCGGAATAATAATCGTGGATTCGTCGATTCAGCGTGGAAGACCTAAAATCGGAGTTACCCTGAAGAGGGTAGGGCAGAGAGGCCCCCACCAGCGGCACGAGAGTTAGGTGTGAACGTTTCAGACGCTTGGCACGTGCTGGCCGCGGTAAAGGGAAAGTTAGCTCGAACTGAGTATCGACCACGAGGCTTTCGGGCTCGTTCAATACTCGAATGGAGAATCGAGGCAAGAGAGAAAGGGAGAGAGATGATCAGGAGGGTCGTGTAAGCGGGTAAACCGCTCGATTCGCCTGGGTTTCGCCGCTATGCAACACCTAAACAGGTGCCCTCCTCCGATAACTACCTACAGAGGGTAGTGGAAGAGGACTCGCCATGAAAACAGGCGCATGTATTTCAAGCCCTGTGCAATTAACAGGGCCGTACTCGTGCCACGGAAGGCGATTTAGTGGGAACAAATGAGTCACGGGCGACGACGTCGTCGTAGGTCGAGGCAAAACCCAATGGTAGGGATATCTCAGGCACGACCCTAGCGAAAACGGCGCCACGGGAGCTCGCGAGTCGGCCCTTGGAAATTACTCCGAGTCATCGAGGTCGGATCGCTAACCGACGACGAAGCGGATTAACATTTCGTGGACGTTAACCCCTCGTTCAAAGGTTTCCGTTCGATTGTCCGTTCGGCGAGTGGATTTTAAACGAACCGTATTCTCAGCCTGGCAACCCGAAGGCCGCTTCGTGACTCGGAAAAAGAGAAAATTATCGTCAGTCCAGTGATCGCTTCGAGAGCGTAACGACGCATCGGAAGATCGTAGGAGAATCCGCAAACGCAAAAGCAGTAAATTCCACGACGTAAACGTTGGCGACAATTCGCGAAATGGTTGACGAAGCGTAATCCAATCGGTATTGGTTTCGAAGAGGAAGATAACGAAGCGAGACACGTGGCGCGTACCTGAAACGAGGCGACAGAGAGTACGGCCCTGAACCGGGAGGAAGCAAGCAAGAGCGCAAGTCTTCTGCTAATGCCAAACGATTCCCTTAATACACTCGCGTCTGGAATCTCGTTGTAATTGGGGCGAACACTTTGTGCCAGCTGTCGCGTACTTGTCAGTGTTTCGCAGTGATCATACGAACCGGTCTAGCACGAAGCTTGTCGAAGGGGATTGCGGCTGTCGGGCGAGAATCATTGGACGACTACGGTCGGAAAGCAAGAGAAAGAGCAGTCGTAGCGCAGCTCCAAAGGAACGTCTGGCTGGTCGCCATCTTAGATTCATCGTGAGCACGTTGTACGAAACGGTGGAAGGAGCTTCCCGGAGAATCGCGAGCTTTCCAAGAAAAAAATTCACAGGCATGCGAGAAGGAAAGGTGTCGTTTTTCCTCGAACGTGAACGCTTATAAATCGAGACGGTGCATGTCGACAGAGGCAGAGGCAGTGGGTGTTGCGAGCGAGAAAACCGAGCGGCCACAGATGCACGAAACGCAAGTGAAACGACCGTGTGCAAAGTGACTTCCTGGAGGAGAGAGATTTTTTCTTTTCTGTTTCCTAATTTACGGGGGCCTAACGAGGCGGCGCTGATCATCGACGCGAGCGAACGAACTGAAATTATCAGTATGAGTAAGATGCTAGGTACAAACTATTGCACTGTGTTCTCTGTACTTAGAAGTCCCGAAGAGGGTGAATCGTTTAAGCGGATCATCTGAAAGAATCGATCGAGATACAGAGGGAACGACATATCGTGGAAAGAACACGGATTTGTACGTTGTCAGGCCGCGAGGGCGATTGTCAGGATTAATCAGCCGGATCACGAGTGTGGTGATAGTCACGAGTGTGGGAATAAAGCGTTAAAACGAGTGCGTCAGTTTTCGCGTGTGAAAAAATAAGTGCTTAATCATTTGAGAAATCATTCGTGTCGGGGACGTGTGATCACCTTCGAGAAAGGAACTTCGTTGACGTAATCAATTCTATATATACATACACTCTTCGTACATATATATATATATATAGCTAATCGAAATTCGCGAAACCGTGAAGTGAACATTATATCCGCCAACCAGTGTACGGTACGCTCGATACGTGCTCGCTCTTTCTTCCTTCACGTCAATCGCTCTATCGATCGTCTGGTTTAATTTAGCAATCGAGAAACGTCTCTCGATCCCGATAATCCCGTACACGGAACTTTCTTCGACCGACGCGCCACCCGTGGTATACTCGAAGCTCGATTTATCCGCCATCGGGAAAAAAGAAATACGAGGAACTTTTAAATATCGCGCGTTATCGTCGGAATCGCGAGCGATAAGGTGATCGATCGATAACGAGCGTTCCGAATCGATAAGACAGGGATCCGTGTGCCCCGAAAAGGATCCCAATATATACGTATATAAAGACCGGTGTGACCCGTGTCGGAACCTGTGGACGACGAATTAATTTCCCTGCCGATCGATACATCCGACGGCATCCAAAATACTTTTATAACCCGTAATGTATTTGAGATCGCACGTACAGGCAGCAAAAGGGAGGCACGAGAATGCAAGAGAGGAGGCGATAGAAGTTGGCTGCGCAGCAAGAGGCCGAAGCAACATTGGATCGGCGGCGAGAGGCAAGGGCAAGACGAAGCAATCTGCGGTGGACTGGTGGGATTTGGAGGAGCCTCAGCTGCTTCGTCCGAGATTGGCCGACAGAGATTCGAAACAGGCGTGCGTACGACGCGGTATGAGCGAAGGTGAACGAGCAGTGATCACGCCACGAATTGGCTGGCGAAAGCTCACCGATCCTGGCGACTGACACGAATGCAGAAACTCGGGGGCAGGTCCGAAGCGATAGCATCGGTTATTGTTTCGCCGTCAACGTCGTCGTTGTCCTGCCGCTCAAACAAACTAGCCACTGCCACTTGGACTCTCGTGGAAAGATCTCGGGGCCTGCTCGACCATCGGTTCAACGGGACACCGCTCTATTCTCGCGTGTCGATCCACTGATGTCAGCCAAATGCAAGAGAACGCTCCATTGAGATCTACACCGAGATCATCGAAGATGGACCCGAAAATGGCGGGTAATCGGTGTCGGTAGCAGATGGGGTTATTGCCTGGAACAGCGATCTCCTCGTCCTGCACTATTCCTAGGGGAGCCACGTTTGAGCCGTTCACTTGGTTTCGGCTAGATCCCAATTTTCCTCTCTCGTCACGAGTATTCTCTCCTCGTCGATCTCTCCTCCCTCTCCAGCCAGTTGACGAACTTTGCGTCCTTGTTTTCTTTCTATTTTCTCGTTGTCCGGTAAACAACGCGGGTCCGCGATTGACCCATAGACAATAAATCCTAGCTGATAAGAATAGTGTTAAGATGTAGTTGTGAAACGGTCAGGATAAAATCAGGGAAGAAGGACAAGAAACGTCGAAAGGGAAAACGCTGTCGTGATACCGTGAGCAGTATCCTCGCTGAGTGATCTCCCGCGAGACCACGAACAATTATACCTAATTAAAAGAGAGAAGCATAGCTGTAATATTACGCGTATAATATTCGCGCTTAAGTCCCGCTCCTTTTCCCGCGATCATCATGCCGCCCACTCCGAACAAATTGAACTTGAGCTTCGCCAGAAACGCGTACAGCGTGTTTGGGGCACGCGCTACCAATACCATCGCTGACCATCAACGCGAGCAGAAAACGGAACTTCTAGAGGGTAAGAGCTTGGACCACCGCCTACTTTAACGATTATATTTGGCAAAGGTTCCCATCCAATCGTCCTTCGCGATTCTTGCCAGTGAAACCGTCTTCCATAAATATCGCGCCATTGATATTTCGTTTAATTCATCGTCACGACCATCATTTTACTTCACGATGCAATTTACTTATCTGCCACGCGGTTATTTCTCCGATGCTTCGTCGCCTTTCGTCACTTTTCGTCGTCTTTCACCGCCCACGCGTAATATCGATCTAACTATTCGCCTACCTTGTTATTTCAGGTACCAGAAGCAACGGAATCCTCCATCTGAAGAATGGTATCGATTACATCAACCCTGGTGAAGAAGACCAAATGGAGATCTATGGGTAAGCGATCGATCCCAACGTGTTTATCGATTGCTCTACGATATTCATTTCGTTATACGTCTTTTCCAGCTACAAGAGAAACAAAATCCTAACAGCTGTTACCTGGTTCTTGATTATCGTAACCGGTGGCCTTCTTAGATTGATCTTCCACTGGATACCACATTTGATGTTGCTTGCAACTCATTCCAAATGTCAATTAAAAACCGCAGATACTGTTTTGCTGATCGAGAAGTTCCAAGGAAAACACACGAGCTATTACGTGAAGAAATTGAAGACCTTGGCTGCTCAAGATATAGTGTAACTATTCTATGTTTTTACCTTCTACGAATCTAGTCGAGCAAATTTTCTATTCAAGCGTTTGAAACTAACCGCTCGTGTGTGTTTAAAGTAATAAACCCTTCGATGGAAAATCTTTGATGGATAACGAACCTTGGATGGAGAACGGCAACATGATAACCATCAAGGAAGTAAAGGAAGAGTATCCCACGCTGTCGCTACATTTAATCGGTGGACTATTTAAACGTAAGAGTCGAGCGATTAAAGGAAAACGGTTCAAACGATCGGAATTGTATTTCAGAAATATAATTATCGATTATACTTTCACACAGAGGTTCCGACGATCGTTTTCTTCACTTGCAAAAAATTAACTTACGTTTGGGACCCCGAGAGATGCGAATTTCTGAAGCTTCGAGGTTTAGACGTTGGTGTTTTAACTTCTACATTGTATCAGATGCAAGGATTGAACTCGCTTGAACAACATATGAGGCAAATATCCAATGAAATCTCTGCAACGATCGTCGATTTGTACGATGCTTAAAGGCTTTCTTAAAAAAAAAAAAAAATGTATTTTTCCGCTCCTTTACAGGCGTAGCGTTTATGGAAACAATGAAATCGTGATTCCAGTAAAAAGTATCTTAACGCTGCTCTGTCTAGAGGTCCTCAATCCATTCTACGTCTTCCAGCTGTTTAGTTTTTGCCTCTGGATTGCCGACGATTATTACTACTATGCCATGGTCATCTTAACGATGTCCAGCATCGGCATAATTATGGCAGTCTTCCAGACTCGTCGGGTAAGAGATTCTCTTACCGTTGGTTGCATCATTCCTTAAATTGTATTAATAACCAAGGATCCGTTTGCAGAACCAACACAACTTAAGATCCACCGTACACTCTTCCGACGTGGCAACGGTGATGAGAGATCGCGCAACCGGGCAAACAGCGACCGTGCCTGCTGAAAAATTAGTACCTGGTGACATTTTGATTATTCCCTCTCATGGTTGTTTAATGCCCTGCGACGCGGTACTTCTAACTGGAAATTGCATTCTAAATGAATCTATGTTAACCGGGGAATCAGTTCCTGTTACTAAAACACCTATTCCATCGTCCAATGAAATAATATATGACACTAAGGAGCATGCAAGGCACACCCTGTTTTGTGGTACTCGAGTTATTCAGACTAGATATTTTGGATCCGAAAAGGTAACTGGATACGCGAATTCTGATTAATTTTCAGGATTGATTACTACGCAGAAATGATCTTACGACCTATCTTTCTCTTCGCAGGTTTTAGCTGTAGTTGTCAGAACTGGATTTAACACTAGCAAAGGTGGACTGGTCAGATCTATTATGTACCCTCCACCGGTGGACTTCAAATTCGAGCAAGATTCGTACAAGTTCGTCATCTTGTTGGCTGGCATAGCTAGTATCGGCGTGATCTACACTATCGTGACAAAAGCTATGAGAGGTGTACCAAGCAATCACATCGCTCTAGAAGCTTTAGATCTAATTACCATCGTAGTACCTCCAGCATTGCCGGCGGCTATGACTGTTGGCCGTATGGTAGCGCAACGTAGACTCGAGAAGAGCAAGATTTATTGTACGAGTCCAAGAACCATTAACGTGTCGGGATCGATCGACTGCATTTGCTTCGATAAAACTGGAACGCTGACCGAAGATGGCCTCGATATGTGGGGTGTAGTGTCCACGGTCGATAAGAAATTCCAGCCACCTATCAAAGATATCACGACCATACCCTTGACCGATCTACTCATTGGAATAGTGACGTGTCACGGAATCACGATAATAGAAAATCAACTGGTAGGGGATCCACTCGATTTAAAAATGTTCGAGTCTACCGGCTGGACTCTGGAAGAACCCGATGTATCCGACACGTCAAAATTCTCTATGCTTTTTCCCACGATAGTACGTCCACCAAAGGGCTCCAAACTGCACAATAAACTACCCAACGACCTAAGAATCTCGCTCGGCCGACAAAATTCTATGACCTCTGAAGTGATGGAGAACATTTCGTTGAACAACCTCGATACCACGTTGGCTGGTTCCACGACGGAATTGGGGGCGCAAGGTTTAGAAATTGGAATCGTTCGTCAGTTTCCGTTTACGTCTACTCTTCAAAGAATGAGCGTGATCACTAGGACATTGGGCGCTGATCATTACGATCTCTACTGCAAGGGTAGCCCGGAAATGATCCTCAGTCTCTCTAGAGCGGAATCCAGTAAGTGACGCTACGAATATCTCAGTTAGATTCTTCTCCAAGATACGATGAACCTTATTGCTTTTACAGTTCCACCAGACTTTGGCAGCGTGTTGCAAGAATATACTTCGGAGGGCTACCGTGTCATCGGTCTCGCACACAAATCTTTGAATCGTCTTCCTTACGCTAAAGTCCAGCGATTGAGTCGCGAGTCTGCCGAGTCTGATCTCACGTTCTTAGCGTTCGTGATTTTGGAGAATAGATTAAAGCCAGAAACTACACCCGTGATTAGTGTTTTAAATACTGCCTGTATTAAAACTGTCATGGTGACTGGCGACAACATGTTGACTGCGCTATCGGTTGCCAGAGACTGTGACATCGTTAAGCCAGGTACACCCGTGATCGCAGTCTCTGCCACTCAGCAAAACCAAATGAAACCACAGATATATTTTACGAAGAGCAACAGTCAGCCAGGAACGCTACAGCCGGATCTCAGCGAGATGACTGATCTGAATAGTGTAGCTAGCTTGGACACGATTGAGAGGGGCTCCTTTGAGAACGATCAGTTCGATAACGATGCCAATTATTTATCCGACGAGTAAGTTGATCGCACGCGTCCGCTTGGGCAACGTTGTATCGTCTGATTTCTAACTTTCGTGCAATTTCGTTTCAGCTTACAGCATTCAAAAAACAAATACGTGTTTGCACTCACGGGTAAAACATGGGCGTTAGTTAAACAATATTATCCGGAACTGATTCCTAAACTTGTCACCCGCGGTGCAATCTTTGCGAGGATGTCACCAGACCAAAAGCAACAGCTAGTTCAGGAATTGCAATCTTTGGGATACTATGTTGGTACGTGGCTCGACTTTATTCGAATTAAATTGAACCATATAAAAGATCAAAGTACTCATTGCGCTTGATTTCCAGCTATGGTAGGTGACGGTGCGAATGACTGCGGAGCTCTGAAGGTTGCTCACACCGGAATTTCTCTCTCTGACACCGAATCGTCAGTAGCATCGGCGTTCACCAGCCGCGAGACGAACATTTCCTGCGTATTAACCGTGATACGAGAAGGACGTGCAGCTCTGGTCACTTCCTTCGGGATTTTCAAATACATGGCGAGTTACTCGCTTACCCAGTTCATCTCCGTAATGCTGCTGTACGGCATCGAATCAAATTTGACGGATATCGAGTTTCTCTACATCGATCTCTTCATCATCTCGATCTTCGCTTTCTTCTTTGGCCGTACCGAGGCTTACGATGGCCCATTAGTCAAAACAGCACCCCTGAACAGTCTCATTAGTATCACTCCTATTCTTAGCTTGGTAACGCAGATTTTGATCGTCGCCATATTTCAGTCTGCCAGTTTATGGCATCTTCAGCAGATGGAGTGGTTCGAACCTTTTAACGCCACGATTAAGGCAGCTGAGAATAAGGATGACGTGAGCTGTACGGAGAATTATACGGTTTTCATTATTAGTTCCATGCAATATATCATTCTGGCTGTGACATTCTCAAAGGGACATCCGTACAGAAAATCTTTGTTCACGAATTACGGTCTGCTCGCCTCGTTCATTTCTCTCACCCTCTTCTCCGTCTATCTCGCGACATTTCCTTTCGAGTGGCTGACCGACTGGTTCGAGCTAATACTTCCAGAGGACGACGGCTTCCGTTTCATTCTGGTTGGCTACGGGATCGCTAACTTTGTGATCTCGTTGCTGGTGGAGTACTTCTTCGTTGACTATCTCGTTTTTAGAAAATTACGATACCGTTGGCGTAACGTAGATAAATCTAGACGAAAATACCTCGCGATCGAGCGTGACCTGGCGCGCGTCATAGAGTGGCCGACGATCTCGCAAGAGCCATTGCCGGAAGCGGCGCCGGATATTCTGATTCGTCAAAACGTCACCGAGATCAAGATCGAGAAACGCGTGCCCGAACCCTGCCATCCCGCCGACACGAGCTTCATGAACAGTCCCATCTGCGCGAACTTCAAGCACTTCGGCTCGGCCAGAGAAGTCAGTCTGAATCCTAGGGCCCTGTTCAACGATCGCAGGAACACCGTGTCCATGCAGACGGTTCCCTGCTTCGAGGACAAAGACGCCGCGACGAAACAGCCGAACATAGAGCTATCAGCGAAGAGGAGATATAACTCGGAATCAGAGAGGGGCATCAATCGGTACGAAAGGCCGTTCAAGAGCCACAGCACTAATCCGATCGCGACTCTGCCGAGGAACACGGCTATGGCTCTTCAACCGCAGAAGCTGAGAGACTTGAAGAACGTCTTGATGCACAAGAGCGAAGATGGCTTGTCTCCCACTACACAAAGTGTCCTTGAACTCGATATTCTGCCGTCGTAGGAGAGAGCGATTTATTCTCGTGGGATGATTCGAATCGGTAATGGCCAAAGAACGGTAGTGCCTCGAGCAACGAACAGTGATCGTTTAACTTTGAGGAACGATGCACTGTTCGCTATTCGACGCACCTGTCCGATTTCGTACACCGAATTACCACGAGGTATCTCCACTCCGGTGCATTTGTTGTCCGATGGCAAATCGCAACGCAAGACTGTCCAACGGCTACACGAAACCACTCAGGAACGTTTTAATCCGAGATGTCAGGATCGAGGAAAGTACGAGTGACCAGCGTTCAGCGAAGAACCGACGTTGCAAATTCCCGACAAGATCTCATGATCAAAATATCGTTCACAGAGTGCATTTAGAATGCCGCGGCGTTCACGACAGCTCGATAACCGACGATGCTCCTGGGAGCATCGTGCGGTACGTCAACTGAGGGGGTCCCTTTTGACCCGGTCTTTCTTCGTCCTCCTCCTTTATTAGTATTCGAGCGTACCACTCTCGGAAGAGAAAGTATTATCGTTAGTTTATTTAACTTATATGATGAATTCTAACTCGCCCTGTCGCCAGGGAGTAGTGCTGTTCGCGCGGAAGAACGGAATCCCTTGACGCAGGCCGAACGAAGTAGATAGGTAGATACATTTCTTCTTTTCTTTTTGGGAATTCTTTCGCGTTTAGATGCCGTCTTTTTTCACTGCGGTTTCAGAGATATACTTAAAAAAGAAAAAATGAAAAAAAATACGCGACCGAATGTATAGATGGATGCGAATCCAAATGAATTTTTTAAACTAGGAAACTGTAGGGAATTGATGATACATTCCCGTTTTCACGACGAGCCATTCTATATTGTATTGTATTGTTTTTCTTTTTTTTTTATTATTATTATTTTATTTTTGCTAATTCACAATATCTAGTCCTGTTTCGTCGGCTCGTGGCCAACAAATTGTTGTCGAAAATGTAACGATAGGAAACGGCGCTCGTTGACGACGTCGATAAAAGGGAAACGTTGGTAAGATTATACGATTTCGTCGCGAAAGCGGGAAGCCAGTGTACTTTTTGTTGGTGTGAAGATTGGGGAATTGTAACTATACAGTAGTCTATCCCAAGATATCTTAATCAAACCTCGAGGGCCGACGTCCTGCGACCCGGAACGCAGAAATTCGACGCTCGTTGTCGCGGATACTTATTGTTAAAACGATTAACGAGATAAATGTGTACTTATATACGCAATGAAATATACATACTTAAGCGCGTTGTTCTACTAGTTGCGACGCTAAGCTTGCGTTGAGTTATAGCGGTTGTCGAATAACAAAGTATGTTTTTAATGTAAAAGCCTTGTTCTTTCGTCCCACCTGCCCTATACTCGACCAAAGTAGAGGAAACCTTCGTCGATAAGAAGAAAATCAATGAGCAAACTAAAATAAAAATCGAAGGTTTATTAAGCGCGAATACAAACGTATGTCACACGCACTTAATTTACAAATTATCCACGTGCTTACAGTTCACACCGTTCGCGAAAAATGGAGACGCCTCTAGTCGCAGGAGGCCTAGATAATCGACGAAAGAAACTTCACCGAGCGTAAGTCTACGAGTATAACAATTCCCACGCATCACCGTGTTTCGTTAAATATAATAACACAGTTCTTCCATCCGGCAGACGAGCAAGTCCTATCCCTGACTCGGAACCACATCCTCCAACGTTATCTCGAGTGCAGAATCATCTAAAATCCCGGTTGCATAGCTGCTAGATCCTCGCAAACACAACTTCAAACTTTTGCCAGCCAGTCACGAAATCGCCAGAGATCCTATCCAACACCGCGTCGTAAACTTTGTTTCATGCAAAGTTTTTACAGAGAGCAACCTCTATTCCCTCTCATCCGTCCCGCTACGAGTTGATAACGTAGGTTATCCAGTCAACGGTTTTAGCCACGCGATGGTAGATCCCTGGCTGACCTGGCTGAGCACACGAGTAACCCGCTGAAACGATACCTATAAGGTACCATCGTCCCGTCTTCTCCATCATCAATGGTCCACCGCTGTCACCCTGCAAGAATCATCAAAGGAATCCTCCATCTCGTTCCCCGCGACCAACAAACTCTCTACGCCGAGTTAGACTCACTTGACAGGAATCCTTGCCACCTCCGCGATACCCGGCGCACATCATCTCGTCGTAGATCACAACGTTGATGCCATTGGATCGATGCCATCTCTCGCACACGCGATTGTCTATCACAGGTACGTCGACCGCTTGAAGAGTCTTCGGGCGTAGCCTCGAACCTGTTTATTTCGAGAGAATTTAGCGCACGATCGTCATTGCCACGTTAGATAAGCGATCATGGTCTTTACCAGCCTGCAAAGCACCCCAGCCAGCGGCCCATCCGTACTGTCCCAGGAAGTCCTCGTTCTTCTCGGGCAAACAGATCGGTGCGATGTGAGGCATGTAGTGAACCGGTCGATCCAATCGAAGGACAGCTACGTCGAACCTGGGCAATCGATCACAGTTCCATTTACCCGACTGTCACCCTCGTCTCTCAACTATCAACGCACCTGTCAGCCTGCGGCGTGAACTTGAAATACGGATGAACCCGAATCTCTCTGACACCGAACGTGTAAGCTGGTAGAGTCTCGCTAGCCGAATTGACCACGTAGTCACCGAGGGTGACTTGGACCTGACGAGCCGATGCCCTAAAGACGAGACGAGTCAGGGGAAGCTTGGAAAACGTCGGTGCATGGTCTACTTACTTGGCTACACAGTGGCCAGCAGTGACGACGTGGAATCGGTTAACCAGAGTGCCGCCACATCGACTGGACCCGATTCTTATGTACGCCTGAGAAAATACAACATTTTACCTGTTTAAAATCGCGTTACACCGAGGGCGGGGAAGGGCGAAGCTGAGTGCGTTGATGCAAATCTGACCTGCCAAGGGAAACTGCCGAAGCCTGCCTCGTCACCACCGACGATTCTCCTCTGCGCGGTTTGCTTCGAGGCGGGAATCCCGCAGCCTGCAATTAGAAGCACGTAGATCCCCCGGTTTAGACTGACTGCTCGATAGAGTCGTTATGCGGTGTTCATACACGAGCAGCTCTTGAAGAGTTAGTAGCGAAGTACGTTCAAACACTCTTGTACAGTGAGCACGAAAACGTCTTTCTCTCGATAGCGTCTCGTTGGTCTTTATGTTAGCATTACCGAGTTAGACTTGGAGTAATTCGAGTTGACGACCGGAACGACTGACGGATGATTCGGGTTCGACTCGCGACTCCAACGACTCTGACCGTTTCATCGAGTTTAGAAGCGTCCCTTGCAAACGCGATTCGATCGGTGCGAAAGAATTCTGTTGGTGGATAGGCACAATTAGTCTGCAAGCTAATCGCGTTGACGCAAATCATATTCGCTCGTGCGTACCGACATGACATCGGCGAACAAAGATCGAGATCGTAGTCGAGGGAAACGGAGGACTGTTGCCTCGCGAGCTAGAGGGAGACCGGAAGTGGGTACGAAACTCAGAGGACTCGCGTGACGAGAGAACCGTCGAAGAAGTGCGGAACGGATCCGTTGTTATCGCGATGAGCATGCAAGATCGAACGACAGAGCTGAGAAGAATTATTCGTGAGGAAACGGGAGGACGAACGATCGCGAGGCATGCGAGGCTGTTCGCGAATCGAGATGGGAAGACGGATTTCGGTGATGCGTGGCCTCACGTGCTTTGAAAGGTGCAAACAGAGAAAGTGAAGGCACTCGATGACATGCCGAGGAAAGTGCAAGTGCCAAGGAAACGAGTAATTTACAAGCAAAGAACATTTCGACATGCCGAAGAAAGTGCAAGTGTGTCATATTCGTCGGACGAAGAAGGAAGTCCGAGAAACGTCGAAGGAACCGGGAGCAGGGTGAAGAACGAGGATGACACGACGAAGAGGGGAAGGAAGAAAGGTTTCTCGGCGAATAGGAGGAAGAGGAAACCGGGAGGCATTCTGAGAGAAGAAGACAGCGGTGGTCGATCATGCTAGTGCAAGAATCGGATGGCATGCTTCTGTAGGAAGGACTTACGATCATCAGTGGCGGTCTCCGTGTAAGTATCCAACGGAAGCGGCTGAGACTGATCTCTAGGTGCCTCAATCAGGTTATAATCAGAGCTACCTTTCGGTTCTTTCCGCTGACAACAAGCGAACATGATACCGCCGCAACTGCCGTCCAATAGGCCAGCGGACATCCAGCACATTAGAAAAAATTCGCAGCTTCGTCCGTCAGCGCACAACGTATCGTCACCCTTCCACAGCGGTCTGTTTTGCTGTCGCGGCTCTGCACAAAACAGGGCAAACTGTTCTTTCTTCACCTTTCTCCTCCACGACTCTTTCAACGACGGAAGGGCCTCGTTACTCGTCGGTTCGCGCGGTTTTTCTCTCTCCCCCTTTTATCAGACATCGCCCAACCATCTCGAGGAATCGAGGCGCGATTACTCCAAGCCTAGCTTCGGAATACTTTAGCGAGAGAAACGAGCCGAAAGTTGAGCAATCCCGAGGGTCGAGAAAGAACGCAATCGTTTTGAAAAGCGAGCGAAAGAAGTCGTATTACATTGGCGTCGCGAGTACAATCGCGATGCGGTTTAAAGAAATCGTAAAAGCAACAGGAAAGAACGTTCGAGCGTCTGTGTCGTAACGGCACGAGCAGCGCGGATGACGGAAACCGTCGGCTCGACGGAAACGGGTCCGGTGTCATAATCGTTGTGACACCCGCTTGGGATATTGCACCCGGCCGACGACTAATTCATAATTATCCGACTACGAGCACGAAATCCAGAGGCGCGATGTAATGTAATCCGCTATCGGTTTCACTCATTGGATTAGCGAAAGACCGGAAGCGCTCGGCGAAACGGTCTTTCGACAAGTGCGATTAGGCCACGACTCATCGATAGGTCGCTCTCTGTTAACACGCCGGTCGCTTCACGGGGAACGTACCTGACTCTAACCTAGGGTAATCGTCGAGGGTTTGCTTTCGATGATCTGAAACAACAATTCCACTTTTTAATAAAAAAAAAAAAAAAAAAAAAAAAAAAAAAAAAAAAAAAAAAAAAAAATTCAGAACAGAAATTCGCCCCGAGATACACGCGTTTGACTGTCAACGAGAAATAACGCGGACAAAAGATTCTCCAATTTACTCCCGGATTAGAACAAAGGACGCGTGGACTACCCCTGTTGGTCCCTCAACCCTCGATCTCAGGTCCGATTTGCTCGCAGTACGCGTTACGACATTCGCGTTACCTCTGTTCTCATCCTCGAAATCCGGCAAGTGGTTGGACTGCTGGAAGAACGAAGGTGCACTGCCACCCACCGGGGTCGGGAAGTCTTCACGGAAGATGAGCCGCGGAGTTCGATGACCCATCACCGGCCTACTGTACTCCGAGATCGGACTCCTCCAGAGCGACTTTTGCTGCCTCCACGATGGGAAACGAACCCCAGGATGTCCACCGATGTTCCTCCCTATTAGAGGACCACCACCCTCGAAGAGGTAGCCGGCTGGACCACTCGGGAATCGGACGTATCGACGTCTGCGAGGCGAATTGAGCGTGAAATCGGTGCGATTGCCATCGTGATCCCGTAGCTCGACGTAACCGGAACCGAAGCTCGTCTTTGACTTGCTGAGGCTCGATCCCGAGATCTCCGTTTCACTGCTGGCACGATTCGAGGTGACGACGAGGACTATTCCCACGAGCAACCATTGGCACGATCTAGCTGCACCCATCATTTGGCTGGAACACGAGCATAGGTCTCCCGGTGAGTAAATTTCCCCTGAAAAGTCAAAGGTCGCGTGAAAACGTTGGAAAATTCGCGTGGTCGTGGAGAAACTCTCCCTCCCTGGTGTTTAACAGCCTCGCTTTTCGGCACCATTTTTTCCCCGCTGTTTGCCTTTCCTCCGTGCCTCTGCACTCGTTTAAAACGCAAAGTGTCTAAATTCTGTTTTCCTTCCCAACGGGTTGCTCCTCCAGGCACCACTTATCTCCGCTCCCCGCGACAGGCTGTTCCAATTAGCCAGTGCAAATTGTTAAACATACGGTATCTTTCGGGGCAAGACTGAGAGGACGGGACACAAAGTGGCCGTGATAAAACGCGCCGCTGGAAGGCAAACATTCCTCGAGATAGGGAGAAAAGCGAGGAGGTTGGGCTGCTATCGGGATCGATTGGTCGCGAGCCCTCCGATGCGACTGTAACAGCTGTAATTGTATCGCGACACGCGAGATAATTAAATTCTCGTTCCGTTCCGTTCCCTTCGCCACGATCCCTAAATCGAGATCGAGATTTTCTACGCGATCCTCGTGTCTCGCGTGTCTGCTGGACTGGGATCGAGCCGTGATCATTCGTCGATCGCCGAGATCCACTCTAGCCGGGCACCGAAATGGCGTCGCGTGAGGTTAACGAGCCGGGGAACACGCAGTTGGACAGATCTTCCTCGGCACGAATCCTTTCTCAGAGCCCGAGCCCTCTGCTTCTGTACACACAGAGGCGATCATTCGTGACTAGGTTTCGTGTTCGCGATTGCTCCACTCGATTTCGAAATTTTTTTACTCCGATATTTTTGGCCCGGTGCACCGAAGTATGAAATTGGATGCGAGAAGGATGGAACTGGCGATCGCGTAAAGTTAAAGGAGATCGGTCGCCTGACCTACTCGTCTGGTCTGCGGAAAGCCGGAAACCGTGATCGGGCGAGTAGAAAACGGGTTCCTGCAGGCGATCCGGTGAATTCTTTTTCGAGCGGACGAAAATATGTTGTTTGCGTCACGTCTCTCCGTAACGGGTGAAAGTAAAAAGAGGTTCACCCGGAACCAAACGCATCGATTATACACGCGGAGATTCATAATGGTACCGGGACAGCATCCTCCGGTTGGTCAGTTATCGGGGGTATTAAGGAGGAGTGAAAACGCCGTGCCCCAGAGTTTTATTGCCACGAGAAGCAGGCGCCGATTGGGCAATAGCCACCATCGTGCCAGCTGCATTAATCGCTAGTTTAACCACGTTCAGGGCAATTTAACCACGTAACGGTCCTTGTCGCTCCGTTTCGTAATAGATTAAAAATCCTCGCCCGAAAAGAGGGGACCATTGTCTCGGGGATGGGACAGTCAACGGACCTGGAGGAATTTCAAGGTGAGGAAACGTTCTTGGATCGAGTCAGGGGAAGATGCAGTCGATTGGGAACACGGAATCCACCGAGAAAGGAGACTCGATGTTCCTCGGATATCGATTACATCTCGAATAAGCAATTGTTTAAGAGAAATAGCTGGTTTCTCTTATATTTCGATTATAAATTTCAATGTCCCATAGAAAATTCCGCAACAGGCTTCGTGGAAGATTACCACGTTTTTAGAAAATGAAGAAAAATGTAGAAGGATCGTTCTCGCGGGATTTTTCGATAGAGCTTATAAATTTCGAAGGCAGCGGAGAAAATCGAAGGCTCCGAATAATCGATGTAGAACGGCCTTGCCGGGCTAGCATCGCTGTGGCGAGTGAATGGTTCGATGTGTTAGTAGGTCATTGGCTCTGTCGTGTAGAACCAGTAGAAGTGAAAGTGCACTTCTTGCATGCACGACAGTGTGAAGTTCATGTTCACGCTGCCACCCGCTTCGCCGGAAGTTACGAACCATCGACCACGTTCCTTCGATTCCTCTTCGATTCCTCTTCGTCGCAGCTCCGTCGCGACGCCACGCGCAGGTCTCCGACGACGCGGAAGACGCAGGCTAGGTGAAACGTTAGAATCGTTTGCTCGAGATCTGCCCACTCGAAATTTCGAATTATTTACTATAATTTTCGAATCGACTACGAGCTAAGGAAATTCTACGACGGATAGGAAGACGAAAAAGTGAAACTCCTTACAGGAAATGCATATTCCACTTTTTAACTAGATCCGGGACTACTAATCGCCTTAATACTCTCGCGCGTAGATATTATTCGAATGCTTATACTTCGCGTGTTTCTCTCGCGATCTTCGACTTCTTGCTAAGCAGGAGAAAATACGATGTACGCGATTCTTGCTGCGAGAGAGACGAAAGCCGGCTCGGTTTCCTGGCTATTACGAAGCTCGGCAGAAAAAGCAAGGGGTTTTGCAATTCGCGGAATTACCGCGAAGAAGTCGGAGAAGAAACAAAGGAGAGTATGATCGTTCCTCGAACTCGATCGAGGGAAAAGTGACAGGGACAAAAAAATGACGGAGCAGGCGATGGAACAGGCGATCTACGATCTAAGATCTCACGAACTTTCACCTTCCTACGACTAGCTTCACTCTATCTCCCTGGCTGATGACGGTCGAAAGTACGGAGAGTTTCTTCTCCCGGTGTACGGCGTGCGGATACACACCACACATGCATAATTGTAGCTTCGTTTCCCAGCTGTTCGTGAAAGCCCACGTGCGTTTGCTCGCGTGTCCTCTTCTCTTTCTCCCTGTTGCTCGCAACTCTGGTCGGTGCTGTCTGGTGCCAGCCGATTGGCGCCACACGGGTGTCCACATCCCGAATTCCGTGTGAACCGACATTAAGAGCGCGATCCATTACTTTCTCTGCAATGCGCACAGGCGCCGTTTACTTTCGCCGAAAGCAAACGGAGAAAAAGCCAAAATAAGAGAAGCGCGCGCGCGTGAAATTTTGTTTTCGTCCCAGCACGGCCCCATTTTCCTCCTGCACGATCCAGCAACGAGGCAGCAACGTCCTCTCAGTTTTCAAACCTCCTCTCCGTAAATCCCTGGAATAAATCTCGTAGGAGGTGGTGAAATTTGCGACGAGGAGGGTTGGCATGTTCGAAGAGAGCAAAGACGTGACAGGGTGTTGGACATGGCCGATGTGTTTACTCTACCCGATCGGTATTTACACGATGCTTAATGGGACCGTAATTTCCGCAAAGCGGCGATAAACGATAACAAGGCCCAGCGGGTTAATTCAGCGGATCGGTCGGTTAAGAAGAAAGCGAGGAGGCAAAAAGCGGGCTCTCGTCGGAAGAGTGTAACGGGTAGCCAGGATCAGGGTCTGGGAATGGTAATATCCAGATGGCGGGCGAGCACGGTGCTTTTTTCCCTCGGTTTTCGATAGAAATACCAGCGGCCTGATTGGCCCTTTAACGCTTGCGTCCAGCGTGGCTACGCGCCAGTACGCGTACCACCTTTCGAAGGAAACCGGTTCGAAGAAATCTCAACGTCGCGCAACTTCTGCTCTTTCTTCGTGGCCTTGAAAGATCTACGCTTCTTCGCGGTCTAGTTCGCCAGATACCCTCTCATGACGAACACTTTCCATTGTGTAACGAATTTTTTCTTCTCCTTCTGCCACCCCCTTTGTCTTCTTCCTCCCTATCGTCGATGTCTTCTGCTGCTGCTTCTTCTTCTTCTTTTTCTTCTTCTTCTTCCACGTCGTCGTTGAAGACTCGTGTCCGAATAGATCCTCCTCTCCCTCTCTGGCTTTGAACAATTTCAGTGGCGCTCGATCGCGGAACGATCTGCATTGTTACTTTCTAGGAGAAATTAATTCGCGCATAAACGGCGTAATCTCAACCAAGGCGAGATGAAAATGGGGAAAAAGTGTGTCGTATAGCACGCGTTCGCCGTCGATTGAATATTCATGCGGCTCGATACACCTCGACGCTTCGCGAGCTGTCTGATACCCGGTGACGGACAAAGTAGCCGTTTCTTTTAATTGCCCCCCGAAACATTTGTCGCGATGGAACGTTCGATACGGTTTCACGCCGAGAGAAAGAGGATCGTTGGCTCGGGACGTGACGTTTCTCTTAAAACTCCTATCGAACGCGGTTACGTAAACGGGGAGTGGTGTTTAGGCAATCCGTAGAACGGTACCGAAGCGTGCATCCTTAATGCTCGTCCCCTTACTCGTCTCTCGTTTTGGAAAAGAACGGAAGTACTTTCACTGGCTACGAGGTCGGAAAGTTGAACATTTCGATAGCCACGAGCCATTGCCAATTCGCGACGAGAAATCTCGCTTTTCTCTCTCTTCATCCTCTTCCCGTCCTACGAGCGCTTTCTTCATCCCGGCCTTCCAGTTACCGTTTTACCCGATCCGAAGCCCGCGAAAGTGCTTCTTCGTTAGATCAACCAGTATTCTACATACTTGTCTGCGATATTTCTTCTATACGCGGAGATATAATTCGCCGAGGTGTTTTCCTTCCAAGAACCCGAGGAACTCGTTCCTTCCGCGCTACCAGGCAGAACCGATCCCGGCTCACCGAATTACTTTCGATCGTAGAAACTCGCGGGTCCTTTTACACGGGGGCTTTGCGGTCGAATTTGGAATTCGCGTGGATAATCGATTAATTTTCCATTCGTGGAAACTCGAATCGCGAAGAACGCTGGCAGCGAGAGCAACGATTCGTTGGCTGGCAATAGCTGCTTCGGTGAACCGTTAAAATCGCTAGTTTCATTTACCTATCTTACCTGGCGTACGTTTTACTCGGTGAACAGGTGATACAGGCTTTCTTTCAAAAGAGCCGATCCATTCTCACTTTCACTCGATTTTTCCAATGACCATAACGCGGCTATTGTATTACGATCTCCATTGCACCAAGTCCAATCGGAGCTTGTCATTCTGGTAGAAACACTCGTTATTTCTTCGTCGCTCGTTTAGACTTCATAGGCTATTACTCGAATCGTTGCCCGTTACTTCGCGATATTTTCTTACGATACCGAGCATTCTCGTCGCAGCTCCGTGTCCTAAATTTCTTTTCCAACGACCTCGAGGAAGAGGAGCAGAAGGAGCGACC